AGAATGAAATGGATGCTGATTGGAAGTATGTGAAGTGTAAAGGTCAAGCTTGGATTAAGTAATGTTAACCTGAACTTGAAAAAGTATTACCAGATTGGGAATTTTTCATTGTTCTTTTATTTAGCTTAATAAATGCTTTGAATTAGAATTCCCCTTACATTTCTCCTTAATGTAGTTTCTGAATGATTGTCCGGAAAGAATAATTTAAATTGTCTTATTTCTTGCACAAAGACACACAAAGGACAAAGAATAAAAAAAAAATAAGGAAGTAAAATTTAAATTCTTTATTTTGAATGGAAGAGTTTGAATTAAAACTTAAACTTCTCATTTTATTTGTTGTTGAGCTTCCTGAATTTTGTTTTTTCTGCAAGTGTAATGTTTAAAAATTAATTTATTTTCTCTTGTTTACTTTACTCAACTGACAATGAACTAGGAATTGGCTCATTATTATTTCAAAAATGTTAAGTTAGATTGGCGGATAAATAACCCTCAATGAACTTTTCAGTGAAGTACCATGTCATCAGTAAGCAACACACAACTTGTAGTAGGTTCATTGTCGTTTCGAGATTTTTCAACTTGAGGTCATGAATCTTCAAGGCTTTGCATTTATCTCTTTCGTCTGTATCACAATCCTTACGTATTCGTTGAAGCAGTATATTACAAATTACGATTAATATTTCAAAGGCATATTAGTTTAGAGATGGAATGGGTTATCTCAGTCAGTTACGTGAATTAACCGTGCTTTATGCGTGAATCTTTAAAACTGTTTGTTTTTCTGTTTCAGTTATTAATTGTGGTAGTACTGGATGGAGCTAAGTTAGAAAAGAATGATACGTCGTCTTCCGGAAAATGTTGTCAATCGTATCGCAGCTGGAGAAGTAATCGTACGGGCAGCAAATGTCATTAAAGAATTGATTGAGAATGCACTAGATGCAGGAGCTACGGAAATCATTATTACAGCTAAAAATGGTGGTCTCGACTTATTGAAAGTACAGGTAATACAAAAGCACTTGAATTCCTTCTTGTTTTCTAAAATTTTACATTTTTTTAAAATAAATTTGGTTTATCGTTTTGCTTTTGTCTTCTCCGAATGACTGTGGGAATATTTATCTTAGTTTTTCTATATATTCAAAAAATTTATTCCTTTTTTTATTTTCTCAAGGATAATGGAAAAGGAATTGCTAAAAATGATTTAGCAATTGTTTGTGAACGTTTTACAACATCGAAGCTAGAGAAATACGAAGATTTAGAATGTATGAGCACATTTGGATTTCGTGGTGAAGCACTAGCGTCCATAAGTCACGTAGCTAAAGTGACAATTATCTCGAAAACATCAGATTCACCTTGTGCTTATGTTGGTCGTTATACAGGTATTATTCAATTTTTTTTTTTTTAGCAACCATTCAGTGTTAAGCAATTGAGAATTTTATTGAATTCAATTAAAAATACTGAAAATAATTTCCGAAACACTTTCATTTTTCCTGTAGAATGTTATCTTTTATTATGCTATTGAAAGGCCAAAAAAGTTATCTAATCTGAATTTGTTTAGCAGTTTTGACATTCAAAGTTTCCATATCAGAAATGTTAAACCTTTCTTTGATTCCAATAAATGTTAGCATAATTTAATGAAGAAAATTGTGATCGATTATTGTTACAGATAGCAAGCTGCAAGGCGACATAAAACCATCCGCTGGACTTGATGGTACGTCAGTAACTGCCGAAGATCTATTTTACAATTGTCCATCACGTCGTCGTTCACTTAAATATCCTGCTGATGAAATGAATCGTATTGCTGATATTGTTGTACGATATGCTATTCATAACCCGTGGGTAATATTGGCTTTTATGAAGTTGAAATCATTTTTTATAGATTTTTGTTGAATTTCGTCTATCTCTGATCATTGTTTTCAGTTCCGTATCATTTACATTACGACGTTGTGGTAGTGGAAGTGATTTTCGAACAGCTGGTACGAATAATCTTTGTGAAACGATATCTTCATTACTCGGTGGAAAATTTTCCAAAGTAATCTTTTTACAAATTTGAACGCACTACCCGAAAATAGCCAAATTTGAAAGAAAAATTTTTTATTTACAGTAAAAAATTTGTACATTGTTTTAGGATCTCATTTTGTTAAATCATAGCGATTCAGCATTGTATTTCACTCTAAAAGGTTGTTTTGTACGACCAACTGCTTCATGTACCGCTGAAACTCTTCAAAATCGGCAGGTGATTTTATTATTATTCCTCTTTATTTTTAAAAGAATGAATTAAAGTAAATAAATGAGGAACCGAATCATTTTTCATAAAATTATTTTTAATTTTTCCACTTCACATTTTGTCAAAATATTGAAGTAAAGCAAACATTTTTCAGAATTGTCAGAAAGTTTTTTATTTATTTATCAATGGTCGTAGTGTTGAATGTCAGGCGCTTAAGCAAGCACTGGACGTTGTTTTTGGTGCTCAAAATACTATGTCACCATTTGTTATGATTTCGTTGCAAGTATGTTGAATTAATTTTTTAATATTTTAACGTTCCACGAATATGACATTGCGGAGAGTTCAAAAAAAATATTTTTGGTTGAATATATTTTGTATAATAAATTTCATATCATCTTTGAATATTCAATAAATGGTTGACCTATTATACAACTCGATGATTGATTTACAGAAAAATTAGCTTCGAACCATTAATGAATCAGTTAATTTTCACTTATAGATTGAACCGAGGCGTGTTGATGTTAATGTACATCCGACAAAATCTGTTGTTTATTTTTTGGAACAAGACAGCATCATCAGTTCTATTCAAGATGTAAATTTGTTACTTTCTGTTTTGGAAATTTTATGTTATTTGATGCATTAACTGAAGCTTAACTTCTATTAACTGAAACTTATTTCGAAGTCTCGTTACAATTAATTTCATGTTTTTCAGTATGTGGAAAATTTGATTCTAAATTTGGCTGGCAGTTGTGATGTACACCCGAAATTTCCATTAATGATCGATAATACTGATAACAGTTCATCAAAATCTGATACGATGATTACTTCAAGTACAAAAAAAAAGAAGCTAATGATGCTTGTCCCAGAATCGCTTGGTGGACCGCCATCTTCTTCCAACGCAAAGTCACCAAAAGTTTACCCGCATCAGGTTTTTCAATTATAAATTTTTCATTGGATTTCTGTAGATTTACACTTACAACATTAAAAATGAAGAATAAGTTCTGAATTTTTCCTAGCTGGTACGAACTGATGCGAAGGAGAGACGCTTAGAAGAATTTGTAGCTAGTCAGTCGCAAATTGTATCGCCTTCACATCCAGCAAATGATGTCACTTCAAGGTTTTTATAATACGGTCATCGATAACCAGACTTAATTGAATTGATAGGTTAAGTAATAATAGTGAACTGTGTTTATTTACTGTTATATTTGAGCACATTTTATATTCAAAGTCTGGGTAGCTTTCATAACACAAATTGTATTGCTTAATGGAAATATGGATAAGCAGTTCTGTTTTATCTTCCCATTTCTAACATAAATTTCCAATTTTTGCTATTATTTCGATTACAACTAACTCAAGAAAATGGACAAGATTTGAAAAGATGAAACTTTACTTCTATCATAAATTTGGTTTAAAATTCGCTTCATATATTTAGCGCACAGTTGTCAGATGGTGGTGAATGGCGCAAATTTGAATTTGAATCACTACAAAATATGAAAAAAGCACTTTGTACAGCGGCTTCTGTCAGTTTACGTTCATTATTCAAGGAGCACATATATATTGGAGCTGTGAATATCGATCAGGTTCTCATACAACATTCAACGTCAATTTACTTAGTGGAAGCTCAAGATTGTTTGCGAAATTTCTTTTATCAGGTGATTTTTTTGCAACTAAATAGAAATTGATGAAAAAGTAAGCACTAGTATCAAAGTTTAGATGTATTCACAAATTCCTTTCATTAACTAATTAAGACATGGAAAGGCAATTTTTTTTTTTTTGAAATTATTTTTATAGAGTGCTTGGTCAGAGTATATTTGCTAGTATTTGAAATTTTCTGATGTTATTTTCGAGTTTTCATAAGCAGCAGTAAACAGCATGCCAATAATTCTGTTATTAGTTTTCAAGCTATAAAGTTCTCTTAGTTGCAGATTCTTGTCCTTTCATTCGGTAATTTTGGATCATATAAACTAAGTGAATGCGCACCACTAGCTGAGCTGTTATATATTGCCGATAGTAGCTTATCCTCTGCAGAAGTTCAACAAAAAGCAGCTATTGTAATTGAAAATCGCGAAATGTTGGATGATTATTTCTGTTTGTCCATTACGGAGAATGGAAATCTTAGTTCGATCCCATCTTTAGTTGATGGATTTATTCCGCAATTGGAATCTCTTCCGCAATTAATATTAACATTAGCAAATGACATCATATGGGATGATGTTAGTTATATTACCGGTTGAGATATTTGTATACATCAAATGTATTCTATAATTTTTTAAACAAAATTATGTTTAATATCTTTTACAATTTTGACAACAAATATTGAAGGAATTTTGTTCTAAGAAGTTAGTTGGAAAAAATATATATATAACAAAGAAATTAACAGTTACACAAAAAATTTTTTGAAATTCAACTTAAGCTTGTCGTATTTTCAGGAGCAAACTTGTTTCGAACAAGTTTGTTGGGCACTGTCGGAATTCTTCTGCCTTAAAAAGGAGTTTTGCGATGGGGAAACAATTTCGGGTTTGTGTAAAGAAAAGTTGTCTTGGAAGAATGTCTATCAGGATATCCTATTTCCAGCATTAAAAATCAATTTTTTACCGCCACAGAAGTTAACATTCTCACTACGTCGAATTGCTGATTTGCATGATTTGTACAAAGTTTTCGAAAGATGCTAGTGCCTTTAAAGCTTTTTGTCTGAAAAGAAAGGTATAAACCATTTGCAAAACATTCTCTTTTATTACTTTGGAATAGCGAAAACAATAAAATTGTGCAAATTTATGCTCACTTATTTTTCTAATAGATTGCCATTATTTATGTCGCTATTTATCATTCCGGATGTGTTCATTGTTTTGTCGTTACTGGCTTCTTTCCGATTATCGCGGCATAAAGTGACCAGTAAAATGGGTAGTATGAAAAATCCGTGCAACAAAGCTAGACCTACATCCAGAAAAACTGTTTTAGCAAATGCTAAAATTGCATAAGTTGGAACAAAGATAAGTGGTAACATGCAAAGTATCGTTGATATGCCAGCCTGCAAAATAAAGTTTTTTGCTGCCGGAATTATAGTTCAGCTCTGAATTGGGCTGAAATTTAATTTGGTGTTTAGGTTTTTTCTTCATAGAAATGATTTAGGAATGAGTCAAGATTTGAAATTTGAACTCAGGGGATTCGGTTTCAATTTTAAATGTGCTCTTTTTTAGATTTACTCATCAATAGCTAAGTAGAGTGAAGAAATGTAAGCAAAAAATCCCACCTGAAACATAGGACCGCACATTTCACGGAAACTTTGTTTAATTCGCTCTTCCCGACACCCGGTTAATTTGTAAAATTTATATGCGATATGAGCAGTGTAATCAACACTAAATCCGGTAGCAATAAGTACGTCAACCATTGTTACAGGATCCATATCTGCACCCCACCATGATAATGAGCCAACTAATGCTTAAAAAAATAATAAATTAGTTTGAAACTTTTTTTTTCTTTATTCCTACTTTTTACCATATCAGTTTACTTTTTTATTTAAATGTAAAAATTTTAATACATTAAGTAGAAATGAATGTGCAAATAACTTACTAAAACAAATGGATAATATTGTTGAAGCAATAATAAGTACACCAATTTTACTACCAATAAAAAATAAGCATACAATTGCCATGCAAATAACTGTAACAGTAATTGATCCAATAAGATCTTTTTTTGCAGTTAATATTAAATCTAATACAGCTGAGTCACCATCATAAACGGTTGCATTGAAACGTGGATAATTACGAAGAGTTGTACGACATGCATCTACATATTCAGCACGATTTGACCATTCAGACATATTTCGAGCAGTTGTTGTTATTACGAATGATTCCAATTTATGTTCACCTCTGAAAAAGAAAGAAATTAAAATTTAATATTTGAAAAATTCAGTTCATAATGAATAGATGATGTTTTTTTTTTTTAACTGTAAAATTATATGAGAATATATTTCTTACAAAAGATTTATATTTATAATTTTATTAATTAATTTATGGTATAATGTTTTGATCATTTGTAAATTTCATTTATTCATAAAATTATTTATTAATTAAAAAAAGTTTACAAATATACGATTTTGATGTTGTCTTTTGAAAGATTATCTTTCCACATGTATTAACATTTTAAAATTTAGAATTATGATTTTTTATCATCATTAATATCAATTTATTTTTATTTTTTAGGTTTATTTTCTCTCCTAAAGTAAACAAACATTCACAATAAATGTAACATATTCATCTCACTTTTAGTCAAGGAAAAAAATCCTTGAATTATTTTATAATTTATTAGGCATCAATTATCATTTAAAAAAAAAAAAAAAAATGGAAGAAAGTTACGACTAACTTTTCATTGTTCATTTTGATGAATGGTGGATTTTTGATGTGATCCAGAAATATCGGCAAATTATCATATGAAGGTGTAAATTTTTCCTGATCAGCTATACCTAACATATTAAAGAAATTGTATATTTTACGATCAAAATCTTCGTATGTTTTCAGGAAAATCATCGTTCGATTGGGTCCATAACTGTTAGGTATCGCTTCTAAGCTTCTTATCATATCGTGAAACTCGTTATACTGAAATATTCAATATAGAACTAAAATTTATTAGACATAGAATTACATATGGATGATTTTAGTTGTTATATTTCGAAAAAAAAAACTTTAATTTATCTTAATTAAATAACATTTAAATTTCAATAATAAATTTAATAAAAAATTGCATTAGTAACAAACTGAATTAAGTTAAAGAGAGAAATTAATTTTTGAGGAAAAAATATATTAATTATATCATAAATTATTCTAGGATTACTTAATCATTACTAAATTTATCGATGAAAAAGAAACGTACTTCTATTGAGTTGCTAATATTTGGTGGTTTATTAATGACAATTTGAAGTGGAAAAAATTGATCAAAAACATCTCTGAAAATGTTATCACAAATAAGAAAAATTCAGTTTCATTTTTTATTCTGTAAAAAAGGAAAAAATAAAAGAATCAAAAAAAAAATTGTCTAATAATCTTGAAAATTAAGAGAAAAGCTCGAATATTTGCTGATTTTTTAGTTTTCTAAATCATTTTTACCAGCTTTGATGAGGGTATTTTTATTAAAGCTTCTGAATGATATTTATTTAATTATCTAAATCATTTCTGAAATTAAAATTTTACTAAGAATCTATAAAAGTCTTAGAATTAGAAATTTTTCAAAAAAAAAAAAAAGGAAAGAAAAAATAAAACTTCACATAAAATAAGACACATACCGAAGAACGGTAAATGAACTTGTAGATATTGAATCAGATGGAAATGCTTTTACAGGTTCAAAGGTTGATTTCATTTTCATAACTCCTATTGCTGACAGAGAATATAATATTATTAATATAATTATTGCAATAATTTGACCCTTCCATGAACATATCAATTTACTATAACTTGCTAGACATTGTTCACCAAGCTATAATTAAATTTATCAAAATATAATGAAAGAATTAATGATTTTTTTTTTTTATTCGTTAAATTTATCTGAAAAACTTTTCAGGACAAAATTCAATAAATGAGCAGGTAATAAATTATCATTAATGGAAAAATTTTTACAGAAGAAATTCAAACGGTCACAATTTCTTTTTCATTGTTCGAAAATTTCTTACTTCATTTTTTGACACTTTTTTCGCCATCACATAATCATTCTCTGATTTATCAGCTAAGTAAAGAATTGGTGCCAAAAGTGTAAATGTAAAAATATAATCCAATAAGCAAGCAAATGATGTACACAAACAAAATAAACTCATCTGAAAAAAAATTTTTTTTAAGTATTATAAGTTTAAGTATTAGCAACCTTATTTTGTATAATATTTAAATTGGTAAGAAGTTGAAAAAATAACTAAATTTTTTATTTTGCTTTTTTTTTCTTTTTATTCTGTGAAATTTAATAAAATTGTTTTTCCCCTCCACTAATCTGATGAATCTGTGCACTAAACTGATTATGTGATAGTGATAAAACATATATTTTTGAGGAAGAGATGAAAGGACATTAAGAGAAGAAAAATGGACAATTGAGGATGTCCAAAGATGAAATAAAGTGAAATGTTGTTGAGTTGTTTACCTGTGGTGTTGGAGTTAAATAACCAATACCAAAAGCAATTAAATTAGTCATCGATGTAATGCTAATTGATGGTCCAATTTCGATAAAAACTTGTGCTAATCGCTCTTTGCGAGATGTCTTAGCCCTTAGATTGGTCCAACTTTGAATCATAATAAATGCATCGTCCACTCCTGTAATTCATTTAAAATTTGATTCAATAATTAAAGGGAAAAATATTTAATTAATGCTACAATTTGGGTTATTTTGCAACTTTTTTCTCTAATAAACTCTTCTCATACATTCCTCGATCTTCGATCATTTCTATGATAATATAACAGATATAAATAATTTTCTTATCTCCTTGTAATCATACTTTAAAATTAAATCTTACTTGCGTTTTAATTTTAGATCTATATAAAATTAACTTCTGGCATAAATTAATTAACTTCCAGCATACATCATTACTAGAAATGCCATAAAAGAAGCTTCTATAGGATCAAAAATTCATATAGTTTGCCAGTTTGATCAACTGCTACTTTTTTTCACCAAATTTTCGAGATCACTAAAAACCTTTCAGCACTTTGAAAACTTAGTGCTTAAAAATAAATTTGTATCAAAGAAATGAAATGACAAAAATAAATATACCAATTCCAAGAATGAGAAATGGTGTGACACACATCATAGAATAAATGGGTAATCGTAACCAGGAAATAATACCAAAAGATGAAGTGGCAGCTAGAAGTGGTGAAAATATTGTTGCAAAAACAATTGGCGGTAAAAGATTGAGTTCCATTTTGCGCCACACAACAAGAAATACGAAACAAATGAGAAAGAGAAATCCAACTGTCATTAATTTCGTTGCCTAATAATTTCTTTGATCAGTTCAAATGAATTTTTGAATTACAGAAAAAAACTAATCAAAAAAAAAAAACCCAAAAAATATTAGAAAATTCATCAGGGAATGAGTGAAGTTTCAAAAATTTCTATGAATAACCGAATTAAAATGATAACTAATATAATTTCAAAGTAAAGTTTTTAAAAAAGTACAAATAATTAAATAGTTAAATTTTTTTTTCACATCTTTTAATTTGCAAGAAAACATTTTTATTATAATTTTTTTTTTCACTTGATAAGCGCCTCGAATCATTTCACGATTTGCAATTTCGTCACCAAAAATATTGAAATTAATCCATTTGGTGACATTTCTCCTTCTAGACATTTCAAACAATGTTATGGTGACATTTTGAAGTGTCTTAAGTTTATGTGCATTATCAGCATCAGCTAAATGCCAGAACATAATTGTTCCTACATGTATTATCGTAGATCGATTCGAAAAGACATAATCTAGAAATAATAAAGAAGTTTTTCATTTGAATAATAAAACTTTTTATTAATTAACAAGAAACATAAAATGATGAATACAAAAATAATGACAGAAATATTCATTATAAAAAGCGAAAAAAATTTTTTTTTTTTAAAAAAAAAGAATTTATTCAATTAGTTAAAAAACTTGGAAACATTGCCGGAGGACTGAACACTGAATAGATTTGAGCCAAGAAAAAATTCTTGTCCAAATACGGTTGATACTGGGAATGAAAATATAGCATCTTTGTCGTAATCAGCATCATTTTCATTTTTTTTGAATTCATCCTGAAATTTTTTTTTTTTTTTTTGCAATAAAATTGCAATTTTCTCTTATTCTTTTTGTCTCATTTTTGAAAATTATTTGTTAAAGACAAAAAAAATTTAATCTTTTGAAATCATATTTATTTATTTTCTACTTGCAAACTTTGCTGTTAAAAAAAATGAATGAAAAAGAAATAATACAGTTATTTTCAATGATAACAATCAATTATTTTGTTTTGGCTTATTGTTAATTAAAAATTAATAATTATCCATTTAGAAATATTTAAAATTTAAATAAAATAATATTTCGTTTAAAAAAATTATGATTTTAAAAATAAGCATTGTTATAGATAATTTCTGTGTACATTTACGATGAAGAAAACAACAAAAACTATTTTCTTTTACCCAGAAAATGCTAATTGGCTTATTGACATCACAAAATGGATGACAAATTGGTAAATCAAAATATTCCGTATTATTTAAAACATCAGTCATTATTTTATTGATTTGAAACATTTCATCAATATGACTTTCACGTAGCATTGTTCCGCCATCTTTTGCATAAAATATAATAAAAGCACGTTGAGGAACGCTAGCAATATTATAAAATTGTTTATATATTTCTTCTTCCCTGTAAAAAGCTTATTTTTAAGAAAAAATAATTACTAATAAATGATTATTAAATTAAATAAAATAATGTTAAGAATTGGTTAATAGCAAAGTTAACAAAGTTAATAGCACTTTCTTTAGTTGACTCTCTTTTGCAGAATTGTAACTTATTATAAGTTAATGCTTACTGTATCATCAATTATACCTCTTTGTTTGTGTTAAAAATTTTCTACGAAATTTTTTTTCTGGATTTTTTGGATATTTATTTTAAGTTGGCATTTATCGATTGCTTACGACTACTTCCTCAAACTTTTTAATATTATTTATTTTGATCAACAATAATTTTTATCTCATCACAATACCCATTCGATTTTGCAACCTACTCGATTCAGATCATATTTCACCTACATCAACTAACATTTAGCAAAAATTTAAGAATATCAAACCTCTAAATCATTATTTTTTTTACACTTTCATTCTTTTTTTTTTTTAATTTATACATAAATATACTATTCAAAAAATTTTGAAAAAAAAAGAAAAAATTATGAATGCTTTTTTGAATGATACAGAAATGGTCTGAATGATAATTATGATGACATTATCACTAGTAATAGTAAAAATAGAGAGAAATTAATGATACCTGGCTGCTCTCGACTTAGGTGGTGAGAAGCTACGTCGTATGTCATCTTCTAAAGTGGAATGAAATAGTGAAAATGACAGAAATGCGGAAAAGAAAAGTGTTGCAAAAAGGAATTGGTATGGATATGTGGCAATGGTAATAGCAATCTGTCGATTAACTCGATCATATATATGCCTTAAAAAATACATCTAATTTAATTAAATTTAATTCAAAATTTTTGCAGATATAACCTCTGATAAAATTTCTCTTATTTTATTCAAATTTTGGAATTTTTATTTTTTTAAATACTGCATTAATTTTTTTTGAATGGAATTTTGGAATATTGTTATAAAATAGCAGACAAAAAAAACATGAAAAATTGTCATTAGCAATATCAAATAACAAATGCTTATTTATGAGTAAGACAGAATTACTTAAAAAATTAAATCCATACAATTCAATGATTATTTTTACATTTGTTACTAAATCATTTATAAATTAATTTAATAAAATAAATCATAAATCATTCATGAAATTATCTACAACAAATGGTATAATAGAAAAAGATTATACAAAATAGAAAAAAAGATACGCTTACTCCATTTGAAGACTTGATTAAAGTCATTTACCAAGATGAAACTCCAATCCTGAATTCAAATCACGTGACCTGCGTGTCAACTATAGCTGAAATTATCTTATCCAGGTGACAAATAGAGACAATTCTGATATATACCAAATTAATGCTTTTTCTATTTGCTAGGAAAATATATTTATTTCATTTGTTATCGCTTATAATAATCTGTCTCTCTCTCTCTCTCTTTCTCTCTCTCTCTCTCTCTTTCTATACCTCTACTTTATCACTGTCAATCAATTTCGTGTCAAAATTTTCATTAACTTTTAATGAACTTGAAGATAAAAATTTTTAATTACAAGATATTTAAGTTACTGATTAATCGAAATTCAAAATGATTTGATCAATGATAGATAATTTACGAAATGCTATTGGAAATGAATCGGAAAAAGAGACAACAACTGGTTGTATATTTTTTAAATCGACCAAAAAAAAAAAAAGGTTCTTAATTTAGGAACTCCGAAAAACTGGAAATAGATTGGAAATATAGTCAATTTAAGGGCGGATATTGGAAATTGATGAGAGAAAAATTGAGTTTAAAATGGACGATGCGACATTAAAAAACGATGGAAGAGAGAAGTCCAATTGATGTTTATTTTATTTATTTATTTTTTTTTTTTCTATTGTAATGTATTAAAATTCACTTTAGTAGGTTTTTTCCATTTCATTTTACAAACATTGAAATTTAAAATTAATCAAATTGCTTAGATTTTTGTACCATAAAAACTTTTTTTACCTTCTCATACCTGATCAATAATTAATCAATCAATAATTAATCAAAAGGTTCAAAAAAAAAAAAATGCTGAGAATGATATAAACACACACACCTATACATACATATAGAAAATATCAAATATTCCTGAAAAATTGTTTAACCTTACAAAAAATTATTCTAGTGTTTATGTCTTCCATTTCTATATTTTTTGTTTAATTTTATCACTGATTGTTCAAAAAATTTTAAAAAGTTATTACATTTAATTTTTTAAATTAAATTTCTAGTTGTATTGTAATTTTGAAAAATTTATCTGAAATAATGTATGCAAAAAAAAAAAAAAGTAAACTAAGATTAATTTTCAAAATAGCTTTTCCGATTATTTCGATCACTTCAAAAAAAAAAAAAAAAGCTGTTCATAGTTGGTTAAATTAGTTGAAATAATTGCTTCACGGATGAATGAATAAATGAAGAAATAAATGGACGAATGGACAAAAGAGCAACGAATGATTCGTTTCTCATAGAATTTAATTCCTCTGCGTCATATTTCAAAAAATTGTCACTGAATGCTAACCTTTTCGAAAATTAGAGATAATTTTTTATTATTGTAGAAATAAACAAAGAAAAAGAAAATCAAATATCAAACTGGATAAACTCAAATTAAATGAATTAATATCAGTGTAGCACTTCAAATAATACAAAAAGTAATTTAATTAATCTGATCTGATGTTTCTCCCATTAAAAAAGGATTTAATTTTGTCCATTTGAAAAAAGATGCAAGATGAAATCATGAAAAATTTTTATTTTTGTGCACTTCATTAGTGTAAATTGTCAATGTTAGAATTTCTAATATTTATTTACCAATGTTTTTAAGAAAAGTTAATAGTAACATTTTATAGATGAAAAAAAAGTCTCAAGTATTCGAATAAGTGCTTAATTTCTATACATTATATCTCAGTAATTAACAAGTGAATGAATGACTGAAATTAATTGTAACTGTTGAAGGAATTTACATCAATAAATAAATTGGAAAAGAGAAACTTTACAAATCATAGAAAAAGAAAATACTTTCTCATTGAAACAAACAAAAATAAAAAATATAAACTACAAAGGAAAATTTAGTGTCATCTGAAACCTATTTCTTGACAACAAGTCATTTCTATACCCTAAAAAATTGCTAATATTGTTTCTAAAGAGCTGTCATTAATTGCAAGTGTTGTTGAAATGTCAAAAGTTAACTATTTTTTTTCTTTAAAAGATAGTCGGTGAAATAATTACTTTAGTAGAATTATTTATTAAATGTTAATTCAATCAGTGTCGATTTTTAAACTAATTTACTAGAAATTTCGATGGCAAGCTTTTTCTTCTTACTTATGTATTATACTTATTTTTCCAAACAGCGACAAAAGTAAACAAGAAAAAATAAAAAGAGAAAAGGAAAGATAAACAGTAATCAAATCAAAAAACCAGTTTCAAGACCAATATAGAGTTGATTACAAGGAAGAGTACAGTAGATGAGGATATCTCGAAAGGATATAATGTGACATGAAATTGTTAATTGAAAATGATCAGAAGAAATTGGAGTATTTTAAGGAATTAAAATGCATACAATTTACAGTTGCTAAAAGATTTATTAAATTTATGCATGCAAAGTACTTTAGCATAATTTCAAAGTTCAAATAGAGGTGATAGTATCCATACAGTAAATAAAATGATAAAATAGGATATCATAGATAATACCGAGAATAAAGGATTGATTAATCGCTATATTATGATGACAAATAAATATCACAAGACTAAGGAAGGGAAAGGCTGGTAGTAATGGGAAATTAACTAATAAGACATTATAAAAAAGTACTATTACAATTTTAAGTATTAAGTTGGCATGTCAGTTTCAGAATTCACTCAAACTTTTCATAATTATCATTGAAAATGATATATTTGAAGGACAAAATAAAGGTTATAATTGGATTTATATATCATTTAATGAGTTAGTTTTACGCTATCTTTGGACTTTCAAATTTGCTAATTTGAAAAATTTCCATAATTTAAGACATTCAGGTGGTGTAAAAATTATCGTTCACAAGATGATGCATTTAACATCTTCGAGATAAATTTGTTTGATAATATTTATGGCGCTAAAGTACCATAATTTATTTCGGTCTGTCTGAATTTTTTAAAATTTATCTTAATTTGTCTTCAATTTATTTAAATGACAATTATTGATTTAATTTAAATTTAGAATGAAGTGTAAGGGCACAAATGCAATGCATAGTAAAATTTCATTCATATAATCAAAATTAGTTAATAAACAATTCGGGGTATAGCATTAATATATTCAAAATTATATTATTCACATCATGATTATTACAGCAATTATCATCAAACTGGTTTAAGTATTCTTCAGTAATTTTCATTTCCAGAACTTTAACCATACAGACAAATTGAAGAGATATTTCTTTTCATTTTTTTTCTTTTGAAGAGACTAATAGAGAAGAGAAGAGAAGAAATGGATCAACCGAAACGATTATTTAGTAGAGCAAATATTTTTTTGAAGTATGCAAAATGAGAAAAAAAATGAATTTATTGGAGAGTAATATGATTTTTCTGCTGATCCATAATAACTCAAGTCTTATCCAATGCTGTTATTAAGGAAACTTTTGAAGAAGATTCATTCCAATTGCATTTTTTGACTCCCTATTTTAGTCAATAATTTGAAAAACTGAAGCAAATCAATTCAACAAATTCAAATAAAATGGACATGCTAAACTGAGACATAATGAATAATGAAACAAATAAGTTAAAAACAGAATGATTAAACAAATGAACTAAATAAATTAACACATAATTAGTTAACTAAATGAGCAAATAAGCGAAAAATCCAACATCGACTAGGAAAGCATAAGAGGCTAAGGAACGAAAGAAACATTTGGTGAAAGAGTTCTAACTTACATTAATAATTATTTCATTCATAACTTTTTTCAACTCTCATTCAACTTTATTTTATTTTACTGTATTCTCTTCCATTTTATTCCATTTAATCCTTATATTTCCATATAATAATAGGGATAACAGGTCTCAATCGCTATCAATCTGTATTTACTATCATTTACTTCAAACGATAATTGTTACCTTCTCTTTAATTTTTTTCAATAAAACTTAAATTCAAATTTTTAAAAAATCAAAATAAAACTTGAAGGACTATGAATTATAATCTGGACTCGGAAACTATGGTTTTATAAGTATGGCGCCAAACATCAAAATGGCAATTCATCAATAGTAATTTTCTGATTATGGATAAAAGAAGATTACCAACTTATCTGAAATTGAAACAATGTCCTTATTTTTGAAGCAGTGTGATATTCGGAAGTATTCCACTAATAGATTAGAAACTACGGTATTACATAGCAATCATAATTTTTACATCGGTAATTTCGATGCTGAAATTAAGGCCAAATTAAGCTAAGTTATTCTAAAAATATAACTGGAATAGATGAATGAGATAAAAGAAAAATGAAATGCTTCCTCTTAATATAGACAGCAACAATGAAATGCACTTGAATTATATCTATTATCAATCATTTAATTGCAATTAACTATAAGTTCGAATTTTTAATGTGATAATATCACTGAGATCCGAGTAAGCGTGGACCCGGTTAGAGTCGGAATGTGTCACGTAGGATAGAATAAAAAATTGTTAAATCCAAAAAAATTTTTCTTCTTGAGTCTGACAAATTCACTAAAGAATGCTTTATAATATGTAAGGTAAGGAGATACTTTCCATACAATAGAATATACAGTACATACTAATAGTTAAGTAAATATTTAATACAATAAATAAACGAAATTCTTGACAGGAGCAGAAA